GCGTGTGGAGCGGGGGAGGTGCTTGGAGCCTGAGGGCCGGGCCCCCACCGTCCTGGAGCCGTTGGGACCAGGCTCCCTGCCGCCCCTCGCCCTGCGCCTTCCGGCCTCTGCCCTCACCTCGAAGCCAGCGTAGGAGGAAGTGGTCATCGGGGTTGGGCAGGGCAGGCAGCACGTCCTGGACGTTTTCTCGGAACTGGGAAGGGGGGCGCGGGGTAAGGTTAGATAGCTCCCGCCTGAGGGGCCTGGGAGGCTGGGGAAGGGGCAGCTTTCAGGGAAAGTGCTGGGTCTGGCTCCTGACCGGGAAGAGGTGAGGCGGGAGCCGGTCCCCACACACCAGCCGGACGTGGTGCTGGCCCCTCACCCCCTTCCCCTAAAGGGCTGATGTCCTCCTGGACCTGACCTCGGGAGAGTGGCAGCACAGAGACCCTGTCAAGGACATGCTGAGCCCACGGAGTAAGGCAGGTGGAGCCACGGCCCCTCCGCTGCCCCCCAGCCCTTCTCCCCGGGGCTCACCTTGGCCAGGGCCTCCGCCTGCTTGGGGCTCAGGTCTCCGACGTGGCCGCTCATGGTGCCGGCGAGGCCGGAGGAGGAGGAGGGACCAGTGTGGGCAGCAGCTGAGCCTGGTCTGGGGCCCTGAGCCTGTGGGCCATTTGTCCCCGTCCCTGGGTGTGGCTCCGGGCTCCTCCTCCTCTCCCTCCTCCTCCTCCCCCTCCACCCCCCCCCCCCAGCAACTGTCGAGTGGCCCCTTACATAACTGGGATTAGGTGAGGTCGGGTTTTGGCTCAGGGTCAGGTCTGAGGAGCCGGCGGGCACGGAGGCTGGGAGGGGATGAGGCCTGGGCCCTAATAGAACCCGACCCGGGTTCCCAGGCCTGCAGGGGCCCCGGTCCCGGACGGAGAAAGAGGGGGACTTCAGGGAGAGCGGGACCCGCACCCTGTCTCTTCCAGCCTCAGTTTCCCCGTGTCCCGGAGGAAGAGGCTCCGCAGGCAGGGCCCTGCAGGTCACCACCAGCCCCGCTCAGGCCGGGAGGAGTCGGGGACATGGTCCGTTTGTCTGGGGAGGAAGCGTGTGTCCTTCAGGGACAAGGAGAGACAGGGTGGGGCAGAAAGACAGGATCCGAGGGTCCTCGTTGGCGGCTTGTTCTCTCCGAAGGGCCTATTTACCAAAACCAGTGTGGCTCAGTGGATAGAGCATCGTCCTGCAGACTGAAGGGTCCCAGGTTCGATTCCGGTCAAGGGCATGGACTTTGGTTGCAGGCACATCTCCTGTGGAGGGTATGCAAGAGGCAACTGGTCCCCCCCACCCCCAATCTCTGGGCTCTCTCAGGGTGGCGTTGTGGGGTAGTGCTGGGCACCTCCCTTCTCTGGGCCCTGACCGAGGTGGGTCCAGAGGAGGAGGGGTCCGAGGTGGCATCTCCCTCTGTGTGGGGGTGCCCGCCCCACACCCCCAGGGGCGGTTAGATAAGCCTCCACACCCGGCCCTCCCCACTCTGCATTCCAGCTCTCTCTGCCCTCCACACCCACTTCCTGCAGCGGCAGCCACAGAGATTGGGTTCCCGCTGCCCGCTCCCAGCCCTAATCCTGCCGTTTCTCACCTGTCTCCTCTCTCACCCTAATCCCTCTCCCGGGAGGGGGGGGGCAGCTACTGCTGGGGGCCTCAGGGGCTGGGCAGGCAGAGCAGAGGGAGGGTGTGGGGGGCCTCCCAGAGACACCCCTACAAAGTGCTTTTCCAGGTTCATAGGTTGATGCTCAACCACTGAGCCAAGCCGGGGCGGGCAGCCGGGGGACTCAGAAAGGTGTCTCTCTCTCGGACCTTCCACTTCTTCCACCCTCTGACTCTGGACCCGCAGCCACGCCCTGCCTTCCCTGGGAGGGCTCAGCCTCGTGCCTGAAGCCTAGCACTCAATAAAGTGTCCAAGGCAAGCGTGTCAGACTCAAAGGCAAACACAAAGGTCCCAGGTTCGATTCCGGTCAAGGGCATGCACCTGGGTTGCGGGCACATCCCCGGTGGGGGGTGTGCAGGAGGCAGCTGATCGATGTTTCTCTCTCATTGATGTTTCTAACTATCCCTCTCCCCTCTTCTCTGTAAAAAATCCATACAATTTTTTTTTTTTTAAGAGAGAGGTAGAAGCATCCATGATGAGAGAGAACCATTGACTGGCTGCCTCCTGCACGTCCCCCCCTGGGGATCAAGCCCGCAACCCAGGCATGTGCCCTTGACTGGAATCGAACCCGGGACCCTTCCGCCTGCAGGCCCACGCTCTATCCACTGAGCCGCACCAGCCAGGGCTTGTCTGTTTTCTTGACAGGTGAGGCCAAGGATTTCTAAGCACCTCGCCTTGAGTAAGAGTTCTGACCTGTGGCCTCCGGCCAAGGTCTTGCCATTCTTTCCCGACAAACAACAGACCCGGTTGCATAACCTGCGTGGCCACAGGGGTTCATGAGCAACGAAGGGTCCCGCCCGCAAATAACACACATCGGTCCGCTGTTACCGGCGTCGCCCGATAGCCCGCCCGGCCTTCCTCCGGCCTCAGACCCCACGGCCTCCCCCACCCCATTCCTGTCTGACAGCCCCTCCCCTACACACACACACACACACACACACACACACACACACACACACACGTGCTTCAGCCCTCCCTCCAGGGCTCCCTCTCGTGGGCAAAGCACCTCCAACCCCCCCACTGGGTTCCTTGGCTGGAGGCTCCCCCAGACTCGGGGATGGGTCACGACTGCCTCTTTGAACACAGGCACCCCCTTTCCTGCCCGGGGGGCCCGGCCAGCCCGGGAGCCTGGTGCCCCGGGGGCCCGCCGTGCCTGGCGCCGGACAGACGCTCGATACTCGTTGATGAATAAACAGGAGAACAAGGCAACCAACGTGGGCCGGCCAGGGCCTCCCAGAGCTACTTCCTTTTGTGAAAAAATATACTTTTATTGATTTCCCAGAGGAAGGGAGAGGGAGAGAGAGGAAGAGAAACATCCGTGATGAGAGAGAATCATGGATGGGCTGCCTCCTGCCTCAGGCCTGTGCCCTGACCACGAATCGAACCGTGACCTCCTGGTTCATAGGTCAATGCTCAGCCACAGAGCCACGCTGCCGGGCTAAACCCCTTCCTTGCTTTTCAGGGAGGAGGGGGGACTGTGAAGGTGGAAGCCTCTGTCATAGCAACAGGCGGGCCTGGCAGAACCTGGCGAAGGGTTCCCCAGCCCCCGTCAGGGGCCCTCTCTGGCCTGCCAAGGGCAGACAGCGGGCATGGCTCTGGGATGCCCGAGGGCTCCAGGTTCTCCAGACGTGGCTGCATCTGGGGGGCTGCACAGAGGGTGACCCCGTGGGGCCGCCAGGCGGTAGGAAAGCCCACTCCAAGGCGCGGGAACAGCCCTGGGACGCGCCGTCCGGTGGTGTCCGCTGGCAGCCAGCCCCGGCCAGCTTCCCGGGGCCAGCACAGCAGCCTCCTTCCCCACCAGACTACCCGCACGCCCGGTCTGCTTCCCAGAGCCTCAGCGCTCCTGTGCAGACGCTCAAGCCTCCCGCGGGCCCTGCCCGTCCGGCCCAGCCCCTTCCCAGAGAGACCGCGGCCGCCCATCCTGAGGGCCTGAAGCTGTGCTCCCTGCCAGGCCCGGCTCAGGCCGCCAAGCCCAGATGGGCATGAGCCTCAGCGGATGCCGGTTCGCCCTCGGGTCTCACCCCGTCCTCGGCAGACAGGCGATGGGACGCCGTCCGAATCCTCAGGGGGTCTGCATGCCGGCGTCCCCTCCCTGCGTGGCCGCGGGGCCAGGCGTGCCAGGGGGAGCGGAGAGGGTGAGGTGAGGGGAGTGCCCCCTGGGTCACCCCCAGCAGCCCTGGGGGGAGAGGGGGACGGGTGTGGCTGCTGAGGGGGAGGGGGAGCCCAGGCGCAGAGCCGGCGGTGGGGTCTTCACGGAGCCGGGGACGGTGTTGTGGCCTCGAGACCCTGGATCTCCTCCTGGGAGGCCCTGTCGGGGAGCAGCACCTCCACGGTGTAGCTGACCTTCTTGGCGTGCACCAGGCTGTAGGTGTTGTCGAAGCGCAGGATGTCTGAGAAGGCAGAGAAGTAAGGGTCAGGGTCAGAGTCAGGGTCAGGGTCAGGGTCAGGGTTAGGGTCAGGGTCAGGGTCAGGGTTAGGGTCAGGGTCAGGGTTAGGGTTAGGGTTAGGGTTAGGGTCAGGGTTAGGGTTAGGGTTATGGTCAGGGTCAGGGTCAGGGTTAGGGTCAGGGTCAGGGTTAGGGTTAGGGTCAGGGTCAGGGTCAGGGTCAGAGTGCAGGCCTGGTGCCCTGGGGAACTGGCCGCCCCTATGGATGGGGCTGGAGGGTCAGCCACTGCCCAGCCCCCCGCCCCTTGCTCACGGCCATCCATCTCTTTGGATGATGCTTGTGCTCATTAAAGAATTGAGAACAGCCTGGCTGGCCCTGGCCGGTTTGGCTCAGTGAATAAAGTGTCAGCCTGCGGACTGAAAGGTCCCAGGTTTGATTCCGGCCAAGGGCTCAGGCCTGGGTTGCGGGCTTGATCGATCCCCAGTAGAGGGCGTTCAGGAGGCAGCCAGCCCATGATTCTCTCTCATCATGGATGTTTCTATCCCCCTCTCCCTCTCTCTTCCTCTAAAATCAATAAAATATACATTAGGGGAAAAAGAAAGAATGAATAGCCTGGCAGGCAGGTGTGGCTCAGGAAGTCATGGTTTGATTCCCGGTCAGGGCACAGGCTCAGTCCCCCGTGTGTGTGTGTGTGTGTGTGTGGGGGGGGGAGAGGTACAGGGGTGAAAGAGGCAGCTGATCAATGATTCTCTTATCATTGGTGTTTCCATCTCTCTCTCCCTCTTCTTTCCTCCCTGAAATCAATAAAAATCAATAACAATAATAATAATAAAAAGGCCAAGAGAGAAGCCAGTTTGGCCACACGAGTCAGCCCAGCCCTTTGCTGAGAGAAAGAAAACCACCCTGGTGATCTCCCCCCCCCTCCCCGCTCCCCCACCCCCCGGCTCTTACAGACGCCGGCCTGGGGGCAGGTGAGGCTGCCGTCCTCGGGCACCAGGTGGGCATTGTAGCGCTGGCTGGGCAGCACCTCGGCCATCTCCCCAGCTCGCTGCCGCTCCCCCTGCCTGGTCTTCAGGAAGACGCCGAAGCCGATGTCCGCCCCGTCCGACTCAAACTGCCACCTGCAGGGGACAGGGCCCGCTGAGGAGCACCTGCAGGGGACAGGGCCCGCTGAGGAGCACCTGCAGGGGACAGGGCCCGCTGAGGAGCACCTGCAGGGGACAGGGCCCGCTGAGGAGCACCTGCAGGGGACAGGGCCCGCTGAGGAGCACCTGCAGGGGACAGGGCCCGCTGAGGAGCACCTGCAGGGGACAGGGCCCGCTGAGGAGCACCTGCAGGGGACAGGGCCCGCTGAGGAGCACCTGCAGGGGACAGGGCCCGCTGAGGAGCACCTGCAGGGGACAGGGCCCGCTGAGGAGCACCTGCAGGGGACAGGGCCCGCTGAGGAGCACCTGCAGGGGACAGGGCCCAGGCTCCTCCCACTGTGCTCGCTGTGTGTGCCCACCGCCCTACCTGAGCACGCAGCCCGGGAACAGGATCTCCAGCTCCACCTGCAGCGAGGAGCCGCGGCCCACGGTGGCCGTGTGCTCGTAGGGCACCCGCA